GAGAAAGATATTTTTTTTTAAATTGAGGGGAATTGTGAATATTTTTAAAAAATATTGTAAACAAACATTTTTTGCGCATTTAAAGAAAATCGTTTATGTCTTATCTTCGGGCATGTTTGAGATATACGTTGCTCGTTAAGACGTTAAATTATCTTGCCTTTTAATGGCAGTAACGCACAGTCCTCACAATCGATTGTGATTGATCCAGAATCATGAGAGTGTTAGAAAATAATACGAATATATAAACGAACCGCAATCAGTTTTTGACTGGCTATCAGATAGTACAATCGATATTTCATTTAACGCACTCATACCACCGAATCAGCGCCAAATTCTTGTTTTGTTGGATTCATTTCACGCTTGTGCGAACGAGAGACTGGAAGATCGAACTTAATTATACAAACATACGCCGGATAATTCAGCTTCTCTACGTTGTTACATGAACGATGCGACTGCAAGCGTACGATCATGGTGACCCGATGACGATGGTTGCGCCGACCGGTTTGGCTACGAGAAACGAGATCGTGGGTATGGAGCGTCAATCACTGCGTTTGATATCATCATTGCCGGCGGCGACCTAGGCGCTAGCTGGCTCATAGATTACAATGCGCCGCACATATTGTACCGCCGATAGAGAACCGGAGAGAGGTCCATAGCGCGATGTTGCGTGTAGACTGTAGCGCGGGGCGACTGACCGGAATTGGATGAGAAAGGGGCAAAGAGGGATGTCTGTTCTCTGTGCGCATATTGTGCACGACACTAATAACGTGCGCCTCGTAGTGTCGCATGACGTATACATAGCTGACAGGAAAGTTTTAGTTATTATCAGAAGGTAGCCCGATGCCTCAGCTCGGCATGACTCGAGCATGTTTCTCGATTGTCAGAGTATTGATCGACAAATTATGTTGTACATCCAAGAATGACGATAGCGGAATAAATAAAAAAAAATGATAGAAGAAAAAGATCGATGAAACTGTATTTCCAAGCAAATCCAAGCAAATTATATTACACGTGCTCGCAAGCCTTTCATGCGTGCATGGCGAGCGCGATCATTTAACGGACGATTACCTACAGCCTCGTCATTGCGATACTCATTTGCAAGGCTCTTGATGAATCCTATCATGAGTCAAGCTCAAGTCCGATTATATTTCTCCTAATTCCAATTACTGTGTTATCTCTCATCTAACCGTTACAGCGTACCTCACAGAATTTTACGGAAAATTCAAAAACTATTCGTATATATGTATATATAAAATTTAATTCCTAACTCAATATTTTTCAAATACGTACATAAAAAGATCATTTATTCAAAATATCACAATTTCAACAAATTTTGACATATACGAATGGCTTAAGGAGAATACGAATAAAAACTTCTGTTAAAAAATTATTCAATTTAAGATTTAATTTACGTTTGATTTTAAATTATTTCATTATTATTGGATTTTAGAATTTTGTATTTTTTGTGAGTTAATTTTTTTTTATTTATGTTATATAAAAATTGTTATTTCACTATTTTTTAGTTTTTTTGTTTTATTCTTTCTAATTTTACGAAACGCTTTGTTCTCAATAAGTGATCATTATCATACTTATCATCTTTGTTATCATCAATATTAATAAATTTTTTAATATTTTAATTTCCGCCAAACAAATTTTCGAGAAAATTAGTTCGCAAAACTTTAACGATATATGTAATCCTTCTTTGCTTTTCGTACGAACTAAAATGGTATTTATCTATGAAGAATTCGTAATGTCAGCACATAGCATCGTCCCATGGGAAAGATAGATTCCAACAACAATATAACTTCTCCGTTAGTCTATCCATCCGCTTTGAGAAACGAGCTTCCCCATCACGCGAGTAATTACGAATAACCAGTCTGGTCGTAGCAACAGCGGGACTTGAGGGTGGTATGAGTGAGTGATAAATCGAGCTTGACGGAGAGAGCGGTGTCATACGTTGCGCACTAGAGCGTTTGCTAGCTGCGTATGTGTTGCGTAGACGTATGATACATTTATACGGACCGGAAGCGCTCGACCTGAACATAGTCGTCGTCGAAAGGTTATCGTTAGTCGCATGAGCTGACTGGCGCATTTAACGCGACGAAATGCCGACGCAACGATCGGTAGAGTTTAACTCCAACTACGAATGTGCTGCGCTCGATAGCATTGTTGTAACGATCTGTTAGAGCTTTTAGTCAATTTTAGTGCATCGTTAAAAGATATAGACGACACGCTGTGACTGGTCATCACCAATATGTGATACTGTTCTATGTGACCATAACACACGCGACGATACGCCGGATAGTTTTCTGCACGATGTAGTTTTTTTTTTCAATTGATTTTGTAAGTCAAGTTTTAATCGCTTCGAGTTAAAGCTTGAAGTTCAAAACGATTCTCTCTTGCTGCAGCTATTCTTTCTTGTTGCAGAGTGTACTGGTCTTGGGCGTTAGTCATCTCTTAAATCATTTCAAGCTGTACACTTTTTGCACAGCCATAGAAACTTTGGCTGTATCGAGGATGTATAAAAGATGTTACAAGTACCATCCCCCGTCTTTTCATACGAAGCGCGAGTCTTCCACTTTCTGATTCTATTCTTCCAAGAATTCAATCGGATCAAAGATATTTCTTGACGACTTCTGATTTCGTCTCGGTTTTGATCTTTGATGTTTATCTCAAGTTCGATAAAATTTTATTTTATGAATATTGCCCTGGACAATTAAGACTACGTATGTGCAATTTTTGTTTACTTATATTACTTTAAAATAATAAATTAATAATAAATTGATAAATCATCACGTACGAAGAAGATATCATCATTTCAACATTTGGCTCATCTAATATGCCAAGCAATTGACATGATAAAAAAAATTGTGCTACACAAGTGCGCAAGTAATTATTTCAGTACATTACATTATACATTTTTATGCCATACGTATTTTTACACATATAAAATGCTTTGCAGCTTACTTCACTCACTAATTATTCAGTAATAGTAATAATATTCAAAATTTATATATTTTGTTGTATATTTACCTCAAAATAAGTGAAAGAAACATATTAAATTTTTGTTTTGAAAACATTAATAATTATGCTAAGAAAACAAACATTAATTAATATTATTTGTTTTGGCAAATTGCTTATTAGATTGCTTATTAGATTATAAAATCACGACTTTTTACAAACTATTAAATTCAAATAATAATTTAAATATCAGATTTCATTATTTAACAGATCCATTTATAGAATATATGAATTTTGCAATATATTTTTGCAGTATATTAAATTTTAGAAGAGAACTTACATTTCACATCTATTTTAAGATCAAATAATTTTTATTTGATATTTTGTATTTTAAAGACAGAAATAAAAGAAATACTACAATTCGTAGTTCGATAATTGTAAAGTACTAAAAATATATATTATAAATAGAAGTGTATGAGAACAATTCTCTTATTTGCTTTATCTAAGATATTAAATGCAAGAAAGATTCGATATTCGTTCAATAAATCCGATAACTTCTAAATGGATGAAAAATGGCTCGTTCAATTGATCAAAAGTTTAAAAATAACTCTTATTTCTTCTAGATTTTATAATTTTGTAACTTTCATTAATTCTATTCTATTGTATGATTATCTACATTTATTATGACAAACCAACAAACCAATAATTTTTTATTATTTTTTTGTGCAAATCTTGTTTAAGGAAATGTAATTTGTTAAAAACAACTAGAGTTTTTCGTCCATTATTCCTGTATAACAAAATTATACAGGAAGGTTACTAATATTGTCATACTATTTTATTTCTACAACTTAATGTATATAAAAATTTCTAAAATTCTTTCACTTTGACGTAAAACATTCTTTGTTGATTTATCTGCATACTTTATGCCTCGTTTTATACTGTTTTGTAAAACACAAACATGTAACGCGATAGTTTTTTTGAAGGTTTTTCCTGTAAATTCAGAGCAAGCACTTTTATTTTTAAATAAAATTTTTATAAAGAAATTATATAGAAAAATACAAATATTATTTTAGGATACTACAAATTGTTTAATTTTTGCTAAATCGAAAATTGAAAACTGATGATTAGATTCAAAAGAGAACACATTTGTAAACATTAAAAAATAAGATATTTTCAAATGTTTACATAAATGCAATGAAGATTTTAAGAAAAAGTAGCATTTGTGCCATACATTTAATAAAATTTATTAATTGAATACATTTAATAAAGTTTATTAATGTTAATTAAATGTTTAGTTTGCAAAAAGTAAGTGAATGTCTCTTCAAAAGGCTTATATCGACGACTTTCTTCTGATACTTTATCTTGCTTTTAAATTTGTATTTAAAAAATAGAATTATTCTTCGCAAGTAAAGATTTGGATTTGAAAGAGCTCCTGTACGAATAAAAATAAGCCAATCTCGTTTACCAAATCTATTCGTGGTATTCGAATCGCTTGACCATCAGTAAAGTCGGCAAAATCACATTTGTGGAAACGAACATCCGTACGATTCATTTTATTCACACGTGATATGCGAGCGGACGGAAGTTCCGTTCGCGAGTTCGTCGTTGGACCGTAGAGGACACGAATGGTACATACCGCAATGGTACGCTAACTGTGTATCTGCCAAGCGTGCCGAGCAGCCCGTATCAACTGCATTCGCGATTCAAACGCGGGGCGCCACGCGTGTCCAGATAATTTGTCACCACCACCACTGTCGCCATCGCCATCGTCATTGCCGTCCCTACTGCTACCGTTGCCGTTGCTGCTAACCCCGCGGCGATACGACGGTAGTGATACCGGTAGCCATTCGCCTGATGAGCTTAGATTAATTACCCTTGTCTGGAATGCGCGCATGGTCAGGTGTTATAGCTTACGCTCGCTAAATCATCGACTCGACGATTTTCGAAAGCTTCATTACGAGGAAAGAGAAAAGATAAGATATCGTACCATATTCAAGATATTATTGATTGTAATAATGTAGAAAAAGTTACGATTTTATTATATATCATTTATCTTTCTATAAACATTTTTTTACTAAAATTTGTATCGATAACATAAAAGAATTTAATCTTACTGACGTGATTATTTAAAAAATTTTGTATAAATATTTAAAAAAGAATAAGTTAGAATTAAATATTGCTTGAAGGGATTGCAAAAAGGGTATGCAAAACTCAAAGCGTTTCCATTAATGAAATCTCAAAAATCAAGTTAGAAATGTTACTCTTCTTTTTTTCTTTCTTTTCTTTTTTCTGTCCCTTTCTTTCTTTCTATTTTTTCTCAATCCCTGTCACTAGTTAAACACCATCTAATTAAATTCTTTTAAATGGTCTAATTCCATAAAACTGTTCAAATAAATACACCATGGGCGGTTACACATTGCGCACCTATCTCTTTTCTCGACGTCCTGTTTCATCCATCGTCAATTGCCCATGCTGCTGGTGGACACGGAAATTGCCCGATCTAATTTCCTCTCAAACGTGCTTCCACCTTCTAAAGCTTTTCAACGTGCCGCGGTACGAA